TGGATATATATCTGGACTTTACAATGACTCGCAGTGGCCTAGCGATTCACCAAGTCAGTGCTGCTCTTCTAGCAGATAAGTCTGGCACCAATCCTCCGAGCTTGGATAGATGGAAGACCTGGTCGGCCTTGGGCAGATCAAACCATTGACCCACATGAGTGTGCAGTCAGGGTACCACTAACAAATGAACTACGCGCCAAAAAGAAGAAACACTAAGAAAATTCCGAAAGCCATCTTATAAGTACGGCAGAGATTATTCGCTGAAGCCTCTTGTGAAGAACAAATAAGGAACCCATTAATAAACGTCGCAGGTAAACACACACTAGAATTCACAGCAGATTATAGGTCTCAGACGAACTGACGGAGTTCGTAAAATGTCCTACTTTATAAACTACGAATGATAGATCAAGTTCGAACCGACCCTTTCTCTCTGAAAGAACTTACTTGGCCACAGAAGGGAAAGGACTCTCAATCTACTTTCTTATAGGAATATGGGGATATTTTCTGTTGGATGACGCCAAGCAAATATTCGATCACATTCGCTGGACATGAATTTTTCACAGGAGCTCAGTAGTCATTCAAAAGCTTACATCTCTGGCCAGAGCCATACATGACGGTTTTTCAAAACACCCTTTTATAATGTTGCAAAATACAAAATGAAACTAGGTTTCCACGCGTTTTTTTTTCTCTTATCACGACTATATTTCAATAAATAAACTCTTTCTTTAGATATCTAGTATCATTTCGATAGCATAAATCTCGAGAAAACTCAAAAAGTACTTCCTCTTTGGTAAAAGTTTTTTCGATAGCGCTGTAGGAGAAAGGAGATATTTGTATTTTACAGCTCGCCGGACACATCTCTTTCTTTAGACACCTAGTAATCATTCGATAGCGTGAGATTCTAGGATTCCAGAGCTGCGCTACTTTCCGGAGAGATCATCTATCTGTAGTGCAACAGGGAGAATAAGACTGGTTCACATACGCGATCCTGCGTTCTTCGGCCAATTCACTGGCCGCGAAGTGAGGTGGCAAGGGGGACTGGCGTGATGCTTGATTGATTTTCACGTATAAAAGTGCTATGCTTGTTAATCAATTGGGAATAGTTTCTCCGCTTTGGAAAAAACTCCAGATTGAACTATTGACTCAGATACTATGAGATAACCTCTCCACGTCGACATACATTTCGTGTTTCCAGCGAATTTTACGCTTGACAGATTGGAGGCGTGCGGAGGACGTAAAACACAATTTAGTTCTCAATTTTACAGCGTTATTCAAAAATGTTCTAAAAAACAGCCCAAGTACGGTTTAGCCAGAGATTTAAGCTTCTAATGGTAAATGACACTCCTACAAAAACTTCATGTCCAGCAAATGAGATGTAATATTCATTTATCGCCCTCTAACAGAAAAGAACCAAGATAAGAATCTTATACAGTAATTGGGGAGACCGGCATACTCCATAGGGGTTCTCCATGTACTTGGCAATCAGGCTCACCTCATCACTCCTCGTTCAATAGCTTGACACAACATGTCTTACAGAATAAGAACCATAGTTCAGTAATTGACAAAACTCCAAAGCACAAGTCACGTAACTCTACGATCCTTTATTTCACTGTTTTCCTCGATGAGGCATAAAAAGTCTTCCGTCGACAGAGACGCTGCTGCTAGTGAGGATAAAGAATAGGGTATATTATTGGAGAATAAGTTGAAGGAGCACTGATGGTACAGCTTCCGCTGAAGCAGCACAGTTGAAAAATGACAAGGTGATGTCCTGTTCCTCAGTACCTCGGATACTTGAATACTTGGGCGGCCTGCCTTTACTGATATTCCGAAGCCCAACATACAAGCAGACTGACCTGGTTCAGCCGTTTTGTTCCCTAAAATCCCACGGTAAACCTAGCCCGAGCTATGTCAGGCCGCCGGCCCTTGTCGACAAGAGGGAGATTACTACGTTGTAATTACTAGCTATCAAGAAGGCGCTCATTCCAGCTCCGATTTACTCTTTGTTGGGCTTTCCCGGTTGAAACGTTGGTCTCCTTATAAGCTTGGTGGCCCTAGTTGGGGCTTGAACTCCCCGCTGTACTTCGCAGTCCGACACGCAGAAGCACTTCACGGTCACGATGAGGCGCTAAACCACTTGAGAGATTCTTCGATACCACATCCAAAAATTATGGTATGATACTAAACACTAGAAAATATGGGAACATTCTTCATTTTAAAACTGATTCGACCCCTTTTTCCAAGTTGAAAACCAAACCATATCGGTGAAAAAAGATTTTCGGCGCTGATCAATCTCTGGGGTATCCGTCTTGTATCAAGTATCCTTGAAGTTGACTGGTTACATATCTGATTTCTATAAGGACTTGTTGCTTACCGATGTATCAAGTCACGCTGCTGCCCACCCATTCATCTGGTATCAATTTGTCGACGGACGGAAGACCTGGTGAGCCGTGAGTGGGGGATCGAACCATAAATCACGGCGTGTCGCGGGGCACCTCTCACGACTGCGCCACATACACATACACCTTCCAGTCATGTAAAACACAACAATTTCTCATGACCTACCAGAAAATGTTACGCATTCAATATTCCGCAGAGACGAAACAACACCTACGAACGACAAAAACTTGGCACTTTATTATCCGTCTTCACATTTTTTTCACTCTCTGGATCCCACTATCTCAGTCACGTAACTCTACACGTATTTCTAGCATTCAATCGTTTCTCGTCTTTTTCTCGAACGCCATAGAATACTAGATGAGAGCGTGTCCTTGCAATCTCGAGGATAGCCTGGCTGTGGCGTTCCACGGGGCGTTCATTGTTAAGCGCCGGAGTGCGCTTTAGAGGGAGTGGGATTCGTCCCATCCGCGCCGTGACAAGCATCATAACCACTCGACCATAGTGTCTCCAATGATAGAAACACCGAGACTAATTCGAGAAAAAGCTAAACGAACTTGTAGATCGTAGTAAGTGCCTTCGCATCAATGGCATCGATTGCTATCTGGTCAAATAACGACTCCTAAAATATGAAATTCAAAAAGATACAGTAACAGAAGATAAATTTGCAAATGAAAAAACCACACTAACACTATAATCAAACAGAATCATTTTTATTCAACCGCTTCTTGGCGGTGTTATAGTGTTACAATTATTCTAAATGATACCCACTGATGTTAAGTGATGTGCAAAACTTTGACGACAGACGGGACTCGAACCCGCATTATACCCAGTCCAGGGGCGCGTGCTCCTACCTTGCACCACCGACGCCTGTTTTGACACCACTCTTTCTAAGATACAACGGATCTGCCCGTCAGTAACCAACCGTCAACGGGCCAGAATTTTGATTGTTCATCCAATAGCTAATATGTGTCAGCGTGACTGGATCCAATGTTGATAGCGACTACCTGGGTCAAGCCGCTGGCGGTTGCATGCTGAAAAATAGATACGCTCCATCGCAGAAAGAGTGGTGGTCAAAACGCTTGTCAGCTAGTACAACAGTTTCGGCGCACGCACTGCCAGATAGGGTAAAACGCGGGTTCGAGTTCTGACCGACGCAGAAGCTTTCACATTATTAAACATCGTTGGGTATATCTGTAACATTATACCACCGCTAGAAGCGATAATACAGAAAGGAAATCTATTTGATTATGTTATACCAAATGATGTTGAGCGATGGTTACAAGTTTGATGTCAGACAGGACTCGAACCCGCATGTCGATATCGACAACCAGGCCAAACCGTTGGCGATTGGATGCTGACAGATTGATGCGTAGTAGCGTTAGAAAAGTGGTGTCAAAAAAGGCGTCGGTAGTGCAACGGATCGAGCACCCGCCGTCGAACAGGGTGAAATGCGGGTTCGAGTCCCGCTGCCGTCAAAGTTTTGCACATCGCTCAGCACCATTGGGTATACAATCTGAGAGTGTTACATACTCCTATTTGCTTTAGAATCTGGCAGACAGTATTCGTGTTTTTCTGCTCCTTACTCCATTCCGACAATAAGGTTTTATGCAACTGAGATATGGAAGCCATCTAGACGTCACCTAAAACAGAAAGTTAAGCAAATTTTAGAAATATGACGACATATCTGAATATACGGAACGAATTGTTCAGGAGTGATGATGAAGAAGGCACAGCGCGTTAGTCGCCCAACCGAAGACTGTTTGCAGCATGAAAGGGTGAATGATAACTATAAGGCTTAACCATGATGTATTTTCCTAGAAGAGGCGGATTGGCGCAGCAGGCTAGTGATGTAGTGTATCAGGAAGCAAAGTGATAAGAAGGGCGCTGGTTCGATCCCCAGCCACAACACTCTCTTGCAATCAGCCATCATCGAACACGCCACAGGGAATGCCTTAGCTAAGCTACCTGCAAGTTTCAATGAGAACAGTCTCCATCATCATTCTACGTCATCCACAGAGAAGACAAAATGCTCAAGACGGAGCTGAAGGAACATGTGAAATGTCCAAGGACAGGACCTTCGTGGAGATGATAGAAGAACGAGTCAGATACTGGAAGTCCTGGGATGCGGACAGTAAACTGTGGCTACGGGTTGTGTGAAAAATAAATCCATAATAAAGGATAAAGCTTTAGAGCCCTCGGCATGAATCAGTCCTTGAGGAATGCGCCATGCATTCGTCTTCAATTTTGATGCTTGCTCGAGGTAACTAAATGCATTTCTGGCCTTTTCAATGACTCGCAGTGGCCTACCACGTATTGAGTCGAAGCTGCTTATCCTCCCAGACGACATGTGTTCTTGGTTTCATAACACTCAATAGAAAATCCATAGAAAACTGGGTGATCCTCTGCATTGAAAAACTGGCTGCTTCTAATGCGATAAAACCCAGCTTTCGTCACATTTTTGTTGAGTTTATAGTGGTATGCAATTGACAAGATTGAAGGTAATCAGACTTTTTCAAACTCTGAATTAAGTGAACTTCGGAAACGCCTAGCGACCATAAATAGACAGTATGAATGCTGAGACCGCCGAAATGGTTTAGCGTCCCATCGCGGCTGGGTGGTCCTCTCGCGCGTCGGACTGCGAAGTAAAGCAGGAATTCAACCCCCAGCAGGGACACCCAAGCCGCGAGTGGCTCCGACGTTTCCACTCGGAAAGCACAGCTGGGAGCAAACCGTTTTAGGAATGACTGCCGTACTGGTAGCATCTTGTCGCAAGTTGGTAATCTCCATCTGATCGACAAAGGTAGGCGGCTGGTCTGATAAGGTGCCGACCTGAGAAAGTCTCGGCAAGGTTTACCTCGGAATTCCAGGGAACAAAGCAGCTAAACCAGCACAGTTTTCCCCGGCTGAGGTTCGTACTATCAGTGAACTCAGACCGTTCAAGTATCCAAGTGATAAGTGAGATACGTGTATATCACCTGTATCACCTGTCCCGTTGATCGTCGAGTGACTTGAGCAGGCACCAGCAACTCTTCCATTTTTCCCTATCGCGTGCAAGAGTACCCACTATGGTCCTCCTCGCTCTAGGGATTCGTTGGGCATCATATCTTTCTTCTATAGCTTTCGTGAAGAAATCGGACCAACGAGTCGGTGGTCTTCCCGTAGAGGGTTTGATGTCCCGAGGAATCCAGTCGGTAACGACTCTCGTCCATCGGTTGTCGTTGAAGCGCATCACGTGCCCGGCCCACCTTATTGTCGATATCCTGGCGTGAGGAATCCCGCCCGATTAGACGCGAGGGCACGTGACGCGTCCCAAGGTAGTGGATAGGGAATAAACGCAAACCAAAAGCGAGTGTGTGCTTCCCAGAGACGCAGGCGGATTCAAGGGACGAGCTCCTTGCTTTTGCAGCGCAGATTTGACAGAACTCTATTTCTACGAGTTAAGTCGGCCAAAAGCCTGCAATCAGCGGCTGGGAAGTACATGGGAGGCGGTTAGGAGTCGCCTCCAACAAATAAGCTCCTCCCGCTCCTCGGGTCAGTGACGTCGTACGTTTATTCTTCTTGCTTGAATCAATAGATCTTCTACAGCGGACTGGTGAGCAAGGGTTCTTGCGTTGTAGGTACAGATCGTCATTTTAGTCCGTTTCGATCTTGGCAGCCTAGTTCGGCCTGAGATTTTAGCAGCCTCTCCGTACTCGTCCTACCCGGCGCTGCCGTGCCAGGGGCTCTTTCGGGTCAGGGGAATGAGGCCCATATTTGTTACTGTTTTTGGCATTTTGATACCTAACGTATAGCTTGCCAGGCTCTAAACGTGGGGGCTGGGTACTCACGAGTAGCTTGCCAGTCTCTCTCGGAGGAGCGGGAGGAGCTTATTTGTTGGAGGCGACTCCTAACCGCCTCCCATGCACTTCCAGACGCTTGATTGCAGGCTTTTGGCCGACTTGACCCTAGAAATAGAGTTTTTGCCAAGTCGGCGCTGCGAAGCAGGGGTGCTCTCTCCTGAATCCACTTGCGTCTCTGGGAAGCACACAGTCGCTTTTGGTTCGCGTTTATTCCCCTATCCACCACCTGGGGACGCGCCACGTGCCCTCGCGTCTAATCGGGCGGGATTCCTCACGCCAGGATATCGACAATAAGGTGGGCCGGGCACGTGATGCGCTTCAACGACAACCGATGGACGAGAGCCGTTACCGACTGGATTCCTCGGGATGTCAAGCGCTCTAAAAGAAGACCACTGACCCGTTGGTCCGATTTCTTCACGAAAGCGATGGAAAAAAGATATGATGCTCAGCGAATTCCTAGAGCGAGGAGGACCCACTGGGCTACTCTTGTACGCGATAGGGAAGAATGAAGTTGCTGACATATGCATGCATAGAATGCGTATGTATATATACGTACATACACACGCGTACATACACATACGTACATATACATGCACATATATGTATATATCGCTAGAAGCGATTAAGAAAGAGTCTAGTTAATAATGTATACACCCTGTTTGTTTCTTGTACGATTTAGTTAATGAGACACATTATACGTCGCATGAATGAAAAAACTATAAAATAGGAAATAAAAGAAATTCGAGAACAAAAACTGTTTTCGAGGGATAATGCCAAAGTGAGAGGGGAAAAGTCAGTCCTCAGCAACCGATTCGAAATTTCCTTAGAGAAAACTGAAACGAAACGACACGCCAGAGTTGCATCCGAAGAGAGAAGACTAGAAAGAAATGGAGGATGAAGAATGATCGAAAGAGGTGATGATTGTTAGTGGAGCGCAAAAGTCTCAATCGAGCACACTATCCGGTTGCACTTCGACGTCGTCGTTGCCGCCAAATGATAGCCACCTGAGATCTGTTCAGACGACACTAGGATTACAAATATAATTGTAATTAGTAAATTTAGCCAAATTCGACAAACGCTAAGCCCAGATGCTGTCCCCAAAAGAGGTCCAGTTATTGAGATTGGGACATTTTCCAAGTGATGTCAAATACTTTTCGCACTTTCGTTAGTGTTTTGGACCGCTTTCGACCTGATGTCGTTATTTGAGGAAGGAAACAGATGGGGAAATCAAACAACGTTTTAACTACTTGCCGAATACTCTTCCTCCAAGTGGCAAGGAAGCGGCGCTTTTCGAGAATACTCCTCCTTTCGACCTCCCTTATATAGAAGTGGTGTGGTAGAATCGTTATATTCTCAGCGGGTTTGAATTTGCGAGTTAACGTGTATGATTTGCGCATTTTGTAGAGGGTTTGGCAGCAAATACGCACCTTGATATACATTTCGCAACATTTTTTTCCAGGGCAAATATACACTGTATCATACACACACTATTCACATACGTGCATGGCATGTATGCAGACATGATACAGCTCCCATCGTAATGAAACGACTGATAGTAGAGAAGCAAACCAAACGTAACTGCAAAGGACTCACATTATAGCAGCAATGTGTGTGTCTGTGTATGCACGTGTGTATGGGTGTGTATGTACGCGCGTGTACGTGCGTGTGCGTGTGTTATAGGTATAATGTATGTATGTGTACAGTATGTATGTATGTATGTATGTGTATGTGTGAACGAGTATGGAGGTGTACGTGTGTATATGTATGTATAGGTGGATGTGTATGTATGCATGCCCAGGACCGACTATCTATTAACCTCGGATAGTTGGAATAAATCACCAGTTTCTTCTGTACGCAGTTACGAGGTGTTAATAGCAGCATTTATTAAATATCAGTCATGGAGCATAGTTAGTGTAGTAGTGCAACACAAACAATTCAAGAATAGTGCACTGGCAATCGTTTTTGGCCAAGCTCGCCTTCTTCAAAGCCTGGAAAGGTCAAATTGACTAGCAATCCACTCTGTCAAATC